GCCTGTCAGAACAACACACTGAGGAAACACTCAATTATTGCTGAATGGTTTTGAATTTTCCTAGATGTCTTGAAAGAATTGAGGACAGCTAATGCACATTCGTGAACAGTGTTATATGATTTGGGATGTCAAGGAATCAGCAGCTCTCAGCCTAAACCGGTATTATCCAACAGACACTGAGTTCTGCTGCATCTATGCTGACTTATAGTGTTCTGATTACAAAATACATCAGCCAAAGAGAAGATTGTGACTTGGCTTAAACTGGACAATATGAGACTTTTGTACTTAGCAATTTTATATATATTGTCTGTACAATGGAACTATGTATTATTAACGTAGTAATGCGTTAAGCTGTAGTTACAATTTGCAATAATAGTAGCGTTGTGCTTCCCACTGGGGAAATTCTGGCATTGTACCTGAAAAGGCTTCACTCCAACTCCGTTTTTGTTCTTCTTTTTCACAACATCAATGAGTTTAGTCACAAGCTGGTCAGCTACATAATCAACGTGCCTGCCACCCTAGGGGAAAACGGGACCAAAGACCTGGTGGTGATTCCATTGAAAAAAAAAAAAAGTATGTGTACCTATTTAAAACTTTAAGCACAGTCTTTGCAACATTAAGCAACTAAGTATTTTTCACTAACATGCATACATTTGAAAATGGCTAATATTAACGATACGGCATAAACTAAAGAAGAGTTACCTTTGTAGTGGCAATGCTGTTGACAAAGCTAACTTGCTGGAAGCCTTTTTCACTTAAAGTCAAACATACTTCCCACCGAGAATTTACTTCCTCATGGATAACCTTAAGTGCGTTACCAGTTTCATCTACTTTGTCCTTCAGATAGAGGTCCACATAACTGCGGAATCCTTTCACCTGCATACAGATGAAAGCAGACAACGCGTTTATAACAGCTCCTATAAATACTTCATTCATATCCTCCTGAAAAGTGGGCAGAGAAACCACTATGTGCAGTGACGTAAATTGCGTCAACAAAATCTCACTGTTTAAAAGGCATGAGAAATACAGATATTACTGTTTCTTTTAAATGCTCACTTACAGGCAGCTTCTGTCCATTTAGGAAAACTTTGACATCCTTTGTGGATCCAGCAATATCATATGCTCTTCGAGACATTAGTGCTACAATGTCTTTATCAAGAACTGTCATTTTGAATTTTGACAGATCAGGTTGGAAAGTGACACACGTGTAATCTTCTCCATCAAAATATTTCAGTTTCATTTCACCAGCCTTTCCCATGTTGTCTGTCCAGGTCTGAGAAAAGGAGGTTTTGTGAGTTGCAAGTCTAACACACAAAAGCAACTAGCTTACTTTTTAAAAGCAGTAAGCTGATTTACGAGTTTTAAATACTTTCAAACAAAAAAAACCAACCCCACTGTTTAAAAACTAGATTCTGATTATGTCTGCTCATTTCGTTATTCATTTCAATTATATTTGGTGATACAGCAACTGTCGGCCAAATTTATTCTAATCACGGTGCGCTGAATGCAGGTTACGCCTAGATTTTTGGAACAAAAACTTAGGGTCTTACTTGAAACTCTCAGGTGTAACCTTACTGAAATGAGAAGCATTCATACCTGCTTGAATAACTTTTTGTATTCACGACATGCAGTTTCCACAGTAAATTTTGTGCTAAATATGTTGCACAGTTTGGCTCCATAACCATTTCGCCCACCTGGAATTAGAAGGAAAACAGACTTGCGTTATTACTTTTGTTCAAAACTAAAAGAATTCCGCAGTAACAGGAGTTCAGCTACTTCAGCACAATCAAAGTACAACTGTCAATAAGCAACAACATCCTACAAACCCAGTACGTGACTACAAACCCATATTTAATTGGGATTAGCGTTCAAAGAGAATTTTTCCTGTTCTCCATGTTTGTACCGTTATTACTCTAAAATAGAGCATGGAGACGTCTATCGGATGGACTCAGAACGCTGTTTTCTTGTTGCACCAAGGACCCCCTTCCCCCCGCTTTAGTCCAGTTCACGCATTTAAACCGATCAGGCTGCTCAAGAATATTAGCGCATGTTTGAGTGTTCCCTACCTGTGACTTTCTTTTCGTTGTCATCGTAGTTGCTGGATGTTAGTAGCTGTCCGAAGATAAGAGCAGGCACGTAGACCTTCTCCACTTTGTGTTCAACAACTGGAATACCTTTCCCATTGTTCCATACACTGATTGTGTTATTCTCTCTAGGGGAAAAAAAAGTGTGGTTTTTAAGGCTGCAAATGACTGAACTACGAAACAAGTATCATACAGAAGCTCTGGGGAAAGGCCACCATTTCATCAAGAGCAAATCTCTGTTCAGCAAGTGCAGAAACAGCCAGCAGAGGGAGGACAAGTCAACAAAAAAATTCTCAAGATCTGCAGATACTCTCTATGAAATGGACCACCACACAAAAATCCTCTGTCTATGCTCAATGACAGAATAAAAAGGTTGAGAGGAAGAAAAGAGGAAAACGGACACAATGGAAAACAACAACAAAAAAGCAGTTGTTTCACCAGTCAGCACGCTAAGAGACCAAAGGACTGAACAAAGAAAAAGGCTTTCACAACTGGTGAATTACATTTGGTCTGACTCGGATCAGCCGCATCGCGGAGCCCTCCAACACTACCCCAGCTTAGCAGAACAGCATCCGAGTGAGAAAATCTAACGCACTTGAGTTGGGAAGGCAATGAACAAAAATGAAATAAAACTTACACGTCAATTGTAACTTTAATGCATGACATGCTTTTATCCCTCTGCTTGTTGTCTGCAGCATTGACTAGAACGGAAAGATTATTGTTATTATATTACATTCTCAATCAAGACAAAACTATTAAGTGCCTTCAGTAGATTACAAAAATTCAATACGTTACTAATAATCATCTTGGTATGCAAATATTTTGCAAGTTACAGAGACAAGTACTACAAGTTAATATAGAAGGGAGAATTTTGGGCTGAATGAAATTAGTTTTGTAATAGAGTGCGCCATCATCCCGTGAATAGCTTACTATTAAGCAGCGCTAATGGAAGGACATTGGTATCCGATATTTCCAAGCACAATCAACAACGTACCCTGCAAACACCGTCCGTCAAATTACGCAATAGGTGTAACTTGGTCAACAACGCAACTGAATAGAAGTACACTTGGTCAGTTCTTAGATTTAGTTCCAGTTTCTTAGACATTCAGCGCCTATTAATAACTTGTCAATCACTGACTCAGCAGGTAGGTCACCTTACCTAGAATCTCATCAAAGATTTTGTATAAGCCAGGCACAAAGGTCACATCTCTGCAGTTCAGGCCCACGCCCTCATCAAAAACCCACATTTGCTGAAAAGAAGGCAAGAAATACATAAGACCCCAGGTACACCTCCTCTTCCCTGCCATCAGTTTGTAAAGCCGGTGTTTTGTCCTTTATACACAGATGTTAATGACGCCTCACCTGCCCCGAGGGGTTCAGGCGGCTTAGCCCCACGACCCTCCCTGGCCCCGGGCCTCCCCCCGCACCTGGGTGACCAGCTCCACGGAGCCGATGTAGGTGTCGGGCCGGAGCAGGATGTGCTCCAGCTGCGTCTTCTTCTGGTAGATGTGCTCCACCGAGATCTGCTTCTTGGGGCCATCGCCCTTGGGCAGCCGGTGGTTCTCATCCGCGGGCTGCTCGGCGGGAGAGACAGAGGCGGTGAGGGGCAGCGGGATCCG